AGTGTGAAGACAAAAAAGCAATTTGAAATATTTATCAAAATATTTCGTCGCATGCTTTATTAAATATTTCAGGAAGCCGTTTTCCCGTTCCTTAATATAATTGAGTGAAATGACGTTTTCCAATTGCAGATGTAATTAGAAATTAGGAGGCCGGTTAATTTGTGTGTCAATAAACTTGAAACTAATGTGTTAATCGCTTCATTATAATACATATTAAAGAAAAAGTTAGTCAATCTTGTTAAAAACGTGATTGGGTTTATTTCAATATTGCAAAGGAGAATTCAAAAAATTTTTGTTGCAATTATTCAGTCGTATAGATAAAAAGCCGTGTCAACTATTGTGGTAAGTGATTACTAGTTTCAAATACGAAATGAAACGAAGATTTCTTTTAAATTTGATATCCTGATATGATTTAAATATTAAATCAAAATCGCTTAACCATAAGGTACAATTTTATATTTCCTTTTAAAATCCAGATATATTTTACAACTAATAAGAGGTTAAAAAACAGAATCAAAATATTAATTCATAATTACCACGTCATACTATACTTGAGTTATTGTCTTGTTTGAATAGTTATTACATTTGATAAAGTGTTACCCTAATTTTTTAAGTCGTAACAAACTTTTTTTATATAAAACATCCATTTTTACCTTTATAAAACAGTGAATATGAAATCTAATATTTCTTATTAATACAGAAACGAAATTCAAAAGGAGAGATTTGAAACTGTATTTGTGGAAGCTTGAATGCCCCAAAGGCTCACACACACGAACCACGTGCCACTATTAAATTATTTTAAATTTTTATCTCGCGCAGTTATTATTTTACTTTAATATTTTTATCCATTTTTTTATTGAAACTGTTTCATATGGAAAATTCTAGTACCGTGTGTATTATATTTCGAAAAATAAGAATAGGTTGAATACAAATATATTATTTACCATTTTGACGTACAAGGCTTTAATCTGTCTGTTTTAAATCCGAAATTGGTTTCCAATCGCGTTTTTTAAGAGGAAACTATTACATAAAATTTTAAGTTTTACCCGAAGTATCTTAATTACTTTAATACGATATATATTATTGTTAGATCCATTAGTAATATTCGAAATATTTGACAGTTTATCATATAGTGTAAAATTTATCAATAATTACATCAGTGTCGCCATTAATCAATAATTATGTCAATTCTATCGGTAAATAAATTGCATCGGATATACCAATGGCCTATTTTGCTATAAAATCTGATTTTAGACTTTTAGGTCATTTGCGACATCAAGATATTTTTACTGTGAAAAATCAACGAAAATAGTTTCTGTATTTTACTGAAGTGTATAATTTAAATTTCACAGATTAAGTTATAACATACGTAATTTCTATTTTAGAAACACATTTTTAAATCCTTTTATTTTAAATATTTGTTTTCATCATCGCAAACGTTAGGTATTCGGAGATTGAAATGTATGTTACAAAAAAAGACGCATTTGTGTGTACTCAGTTATATGTATAAGAAAAATGTATAAGTTCTATACATTATTATCGAAAATGTATGTTAGAAAATTTATTTACTTTATAAATATATTTTTCGTAATATTTAATATTTGTTAAAATACCTGGTATTTTTGTATTTTAGATAGAGTATTATTTTTCAACCGCTCCTCGTTTTACGTGGGATTATCAAATTTTTTGATTCACTATTTCACAGAAATGGATTCGGTTAACCGAGTCTCCACAGTTTTAAAATACGATTTTTTTCATCACAGTTATTACATTGGAAATATTGTGGAATTCGAAAGAAAAAATTTTATTTAATTTCGGAGATTTAAGGACAGATGAATAATCTTATATGTCGAGCACCATTCATTACTCCTTCAAATGAACTTAATGTGGATTTTTAAACAATTTTATATATAAAAAAAGAAATTCCAAAGGAATATTCCGTTTGACCCTTATCCGGTCAAGACCTTATAAATCCTTAAAGCACCTACCCTCATAACATGGTCATGAATTCAATAATCCGTAAGATGTCGGATCTTTGATATATCAACTGTACTCTTATATCGCTCGTTTAGGCTGTAACATATTATATAAATACACATACACATACACACACGCACACTTATATACATATATATAAATAATTGTCATATCCTAGCCATTATTTTTTATTTATGCTATGTGCCTTGATAAAAATTAAAATTACTGTTGAGATAACCAAATTTATTTCAATAAGTCTTAATGTGTAGTTGTAAACTATATTCAATGAATTTATAACCTTAAGTTTATATGCAATAAAACTATATTTCTTTGTTTCTGTTTTTATTTTATATCTATTTACTACAACACTTTCATTTCAGCATATATTTATATTTAGGATTTATTTACACTATTGATTATATTAACCATACTAGAGAAAAGCATATATATTTTCTTAAGCATAAAATTAACTGTTCCACAAATAACGTCGTTAACCAGTAATATTTGACTTTTTATTATGACACGTAACCAACTACTAATAATTCCTATATTATCCTCAAATTACACCTAAAGTGGTGTCGTGTAGTAATGTCCTATGAGCTAAATACATGATGGCATTTTAATGTACGTAATTTGATGACATTCGCTGTATAAGAATATATAAGAAGTATATATGTGTATATAAAGACTTCTACAAACTTCTAGTTTGATTCTGTAAAATTAAGCTGTACTAAATAAATGTACAATAAATTAAAGTATTCTAAATGTTCAATTTACTCTTGACCTAAAAGTCTACGGATACAAAAAGCAAACGACCTACTCGAACGTAAAATCCGATCGGATTTGTATCAGATTCAGTTATTTGTCGACATACAGCTAGCTTGAAAACAAGATAACTCAAAATACAAATAATTTAACGAATTTCATCCCTATTTATATAGTACACAAGATTGTAATTTAGATTTACTATATGCAAAACTTATTTTTATATATCAGATAGATATATAATACAACGAAAAATACTCGTTCATTCTTCTGTAATCTTTGAATTTCCGCTTGCAATAGATACAATTTTGCTCCAAATTGTGAAGTTGTCAATTGCATTCAATCGCAACGATTTGAAGCAAGTGAAACTGCAATAGAATATTGCTATTGAATGTTAAAAGAGCTTTCATATTAGAAAAATACTTACAAAAAATCATTAATGGCTTTAAATATGAAACGTTATACTGTAATGTAAATACTGTAAGTTTTGCTATTGAAAACTCTTTTTACTTTGGACTATTTATATAGCATTAATTTGTTTATTCATCTGTACAGATACATGCAAATATTGCTTAAGAGGCGAGATTTAAGCTAAAATGTATTACTACCAAAATATTAGGGAGAAGAAAAAAGGTATGGGTGTATGCAAATTGTTAAGAAATACTTTTATTAAAAACTACTTGAAAAAAATGCTTAAGATAAGACCATAAGGTTGAAAATGTTTTGAAAGTAAATAAGTAAATTTCAAGTATTATTTCAAATATTAAATAATAGTAGTATATAAAGGAAATGTATTGCATCATAGTTTATAAGAGAATATGATTTTCGTGCTACCAGCATGTTTGTGGTGTAGACTTAAATGCAAATTATGGTTCACAAGATTTACGACAGTTCTGAGAAATAGCTACAATTGTTTACTGTACGTTTTACACGAGTTTACATCGTATACCTAAACACCGACAGTTGTAACGTTTATCATTCATTAATCATCGAACACATTAGTATATTGTTTTCGTATGAACTTCAAAAGTGTTGGTAAAGCGAACTCGTAGCTGGGATTATATGGTGGCAAACATCAAATACAGAAATATAAGAATTTTGGTACTTCTTTTAAGTTCTAAGTTTTGAGGAATTAAATAAATTAATAATATATATCTTATTGCAGTGAAAATGGCAAAGGATGATTGTGAACTCAAGATTTTTAGAGCACAATTAATTTAACTTATACATAAGTAATGAAACAAATGAATATTTTTTCAAGCATATTTTATTTTAAATGTTTTTTTATATGTCTTGTTCATTTACGTACATTTACATTAAAGACAACAGCGCTTTGACTAGAACAACTTTTTGTTATATTTCAATAAACATTTAAGACGAAACAACGACATCAATATAATATTTATAATATTAATAATTAAGATATTCATATGTTATACACTCTACAAAAAATATTTCATTAAGACTACTCAAAATATTTAGACAGCCCCAATTAAATGTAAATATATTTAGTTAGACTAAAATATTAATTTATATAAATAAAATTAGTCACTATATATAATCTGTTGCATATTTAACAGAATGGAATGTTATTTTAAAAATAGAGTTCTTTCAATAATCTAAGAAGTTTTATAATTTCATTTAAATGTATTTCATAAAAGTTACATTTACGTTTCATTTGCTTTTATTAGGCAACTGTTTTATAAAATTCAAATTAGTTGGTAAGTACATTTTTATCATGTTCCGGTGAAGCTACATACATTATTAATATTTTGTGACTTAATTAATAAGTGACAAATCTCTCACTACACATTTAGGCAAAGAATCCAACATTTGGACGGCGGCATTGAACAAAAGCGTGGCGTATTTTAGTACTTACTTACAACAATATAGTAGTTGCCTAGTTCAGTGCATAAATTCTTTACTCCAACGCTATTTAGAAGCCTCTGTATTTATAATTTTTATTTAGAAATATGTATATAACAATTATACTTTTCTAAACCTATGGAATATAACAGATATTATAGATGGCACTAAAGTAACATATCAGTATGTAAAGCTAACGATATGGAGGAACCCTGTAGGATAAAACATTACATCTACGATAGAGTTGTAAATAGGAATAGGAAATAACATTTGGTCACAATTTGTTCAGAATGGCCGAGTAATATAGAAAGCGGTAATAAAAAATAAAGATATTACGAACGTCACTCCCAGTTATTGTCATTTACACCTTACATAGCGATGGGAAAGGATTTTTATAAAATGACATTATTATTAGCATGAGAGCGATGAGACCAATTGAGCAGGAGTTGCTCATCGTGATTGTCAATGATGACGTTTTCCGAGAGAGCTGTAGAACAAGACATGGTTCCTAGAAGAGCGCCGCTGGACCGAGAGTGTTGTCTGCAGAGGGGTCGGCGTGATGGTGACTCACATTCGTCAGACATAGCGCGGGTTACGGTTATCCGAGGAGACTGGCGCCGTCTTCGTTCCCTATGAACACCTTCCTCCAAACCAAGAGCTCTGCCTAACACAACGTGAGGAGGAGCTCGTATTAACGGTATGGCCGAAGTCCTTGGTTTCGGTATTTCATCTTCTTGTGAATCTTGTAACATATTGCATGATGCTGCGCGCTGGGCAGGCCGTTCTGCTCCTCGGGAACCCATAGCGGCAGCGTCCGATAATCTTCTGGTAGTGGGAGGTCTGATACAACCTGAACCGGCTGATAAAGAAGGTCTTCTCGATCCACAGGCGCTTGGTGTTCTAGCTTGAATCTCTTGTGTGACTTCACTCTTAGTCATTTTCTTCCGACGGTAATTTCTTAACGATTCTTTAAAAGCTCTGCTGCGAATCCCGTATAAAATACCGTTAACTGGCGGGGCTGCAGCTAGAAGGGCAACTGATAGTGCAGATAAAGACTGTGGGGGAACAGCTATTGCTGGCCATATTAAGACACAGTAGTAAGGGAAATACAAGATAGCTAATGATCCGATAGGTTGAAGAACAGCTGATAATGCTCGCCTTCGCGGTGGAGGTGGTGCAGTGAAAGGATTTCGCTGATGTGTTACCGTTACTTGGGCAGACAGGGTAACTTCATATATTGCGGCTGCAATCCTATGTCTGTGATAACGAGCTATACGTAGAATCTTTAAACTGCAAAGTAAAACAAGTGTTGTGGGTAGCAATAACGTCAACAATGCGTATGTTAAGCAAAATCCTAGAGCCGTGGCCCCAGCACTGCAGTCAGGGGCGCAACCGCCGAGTCCAATGCTGTAGGTCAATGGAGGATGAGCTGCAGCAAGTGGTGTTAGCAGCGCGCCAAGAGCTATCCAGCCGCTGGCAACACAGATCACTACCTGATAACAAAGATATGGCTGATTATTTTGGGAAAACAATCTCAGATTTGTGATAATATTTATTAATATTACTTTTTTAGCAGATACTATGGCAGCATAGTGTAGAGGTGCTGCAATAGCAGCAGCTCTGTCAGCATGTAGGCCGCAAACCGTCCAAAGTTGTAGCGGGTGAAGGGCGTGGAGTAAAGCGCCACAAGCGCAAGCTCCACTGCCGCCGCACAACGCAGCACCGCTCGCTAAAGCACCGACTGCACCGAGATGAACCAGCAGAACCGATGAGGCTGATGCCGGCTGCAAAACATAACATAGTTCATATCACTAACTTGTTTTAATGAATCAAATACCAAATGTGAAATGCGAAAAATGTAGAATATTTTCATTTCATAGAACGAACTTGATATATCAAAGGACTTGTGTGCAAAGGCAAATAAAGAATTGATTTGAATATTATTGTTAGGATAGAATAGTCTTTTAAAATTATATGTATATTGCTACATATTTTAAGAAATTAATTTAGTTTTTAAAATTTTATCAATGGGCAGTTTGAAAGGGTTTGTGTTCTTTATAAGAGAGGTGATTGTCTAAACATAAGAAATGAGATATACTAAGTATTACCGGCTCCGCAGCACTAAATAAAGGAATTCGTTAAACAATATACTTTATGGTAAAAACGAGTAAATTTTAAAATAATCTGTTAAAACAAAATATTTGTCCGTTGTTTTATAAACACGCATGAGAATTTCTATTCTTAAAAGTTACAATTATTTGAATGAATTAATACTAATAATACTTAAGGAAACGTAAAAATATAATTCATTATTTAAGTTTAATTCACGTGAATATGATTATAGGACACTCGGTTTCCCAGCGGGGAGGCTTTAATTAATAAGGCTCTGTAAACAGAAGTCAGACTGGTGCGGACGGCGAGAACGCATAAAATATTCAACAATCCCCTAAAAAGGGTTCATGTAGAACCATCAGGTTTCGTGTAATCTTATTCGGCTTGTATTTTCAGAAACTAAATAACGTTATTCTACAACAGAAACTAAGTATTACTTTGTTATAAAATATAAGATAAAATACGTTAAATATTTTGATAATAATGGGCCAATAATAATTGCTGAATATACTTTTTATAATCTTAAGTTTGAAGTTGAAGTTCGGTCAGAATATGTCAAGCCGTTTTTGAAGTATTATTATACTACATTATATGTAGTTAATATATTTTTATATAATATAAACACCACTTTATGTTATTTAACTACATGATTTTGATACCAGATCTTGGATTAATGACGATATTGTAAACTACAAAAGAATTTAAATAATTTAAAACAATATATCCTACATATTTTAATATTTCACGACCTAGTTGTATATCAAATGACTTCTATGTTTGTGTTACGGATACAAAGACTATTCAATCTTCCGTTAGTGATTCAACTTTTCCTTTATAAGCGCACATCCTTGTATAACCTGCTATATCTTTTATAGACAGTCTGTAATACACGGATATAAGTATTTAATTATGTTGCAATAAACGTTTTATTTCAAATTCTGTATTTACTTAAATGTTCAGATAAGGTAGCGTACGTCAACCAAAAAGAAAACGAAAAAGGTAACAGTATTTCAAAATAAAATGCTACTTAAAATTAAGTCTAAGTCAACCAAAGATTTATTTCGTTTTGATTTGACCGAAATTTTGCTTTATATTTTTGTGGTTACATTAATAATAACATACTATAATTAGATATATAAATAAGAAAAGAATCTCATAAATTTAACATAATTAAATAAATTTAAAGATGGTTATAATTTGGATTAAAGACTACTTCACGCCGATCTTCTGTGCGAGAGTGGTACCTCACGGGTATAGCAAGCCCATGTTAAAACTGCAGTTACTTTACTACACCTAGGCTACACTATATAAGAAGAATAATTGATGGAAAAAAGATAATTGTTGTCTTTAGACTGTTATGGTAAAACACATGGTATAGAAAACTTTCTTTATGTTCGTACACGTGTCATAATATATTTTTCTTATGTTATAAAGTTGTCGAAAAACTTTATAACATAAGAAAAAACAATGGATTTACTATCGAATATAACTAAATATTTACACAATAAGTATTGTATAAGACAAATGAAACCAGGATTTTATGTTTTATTGAAACCATTATCAACCGATAGCTTAATATAATTATATCACTAAGAAATAGTCCCCTACAGATCTTCCGGACTTAAGACATAATATGAAATATCAATATCAATGATTAATATGATAATTCAGAATCGTTTAGTTTTCTGTAGTATGTGTAACTAGTAACTTAGGTAGCTAAAATTGCAATTGTATTCTTCAACCTTTTTTTATAAACGGATACATCAGGCAGTCACATGGTCAGTATCCTTGTGTTGCAGAACTTCCTTTCCACTTACCAACAGGTGGAATGACAGTCATGCACTATCCAGTCGAAATAATAAAGTAACTAACTAATAAATAATATGATATTTCCATAAATTTAAATAAGCTTAGTGTGGTTATTACAAATACTATCTCATTTTAAATAATGTCTCTGCAATTTTAACACAGTTATGCAAATTTAAAATATGATTTATGTTAAAAATATGAATAAAGCTAAAACTATTTCTTATTTATACAAATAATGCGATCTGATCCGTATCTTATTATTAATGTAAAATTGATATACACATTATAAGAACAGAAAATTTTTACTATTTTTTAAATTTATAATGACATGCATGTATTTTTAATTAATGTGTATATATTTAATAAGATTACTTACAAATAGTGATATTTAATTTAATTGTTTAATAACCAATTCTCACTTTTAATGATACAAATTTTGCTATCTCGTCTGCCCGTGATTACGGTTGCTGAAAAGTAGCCGAAACGTCGGGAGTATGTAGTTTATAGTCAAAAATAAAGTCGCGTAGTATATCCGAAGAATATTAGTTTCATTTAAATTGTGCTATTTCATGTCTTATAAATTTATGATAGTCTTTTCATTTCGCCGGCTTCGCATCAAAATGTAATTGATGATTGATAAAAGTTTATTTTCTGTGGCTTTAAATGGCTGTCGGCATGACTCGCTTAATTATTGCCGTTATATCCAAATGTCACCAATTTAATTAACGAATACTATTTATTAATGCGAGACACGATATAATTAAATAATAGTGTTTCACTAGCATTATGAATGCGAAAGTTTGTTGTTTGTTATGATATCAAAACTATCGAATGGTTTTGCCTGAAATTTTGTATACTGGCATTGCTAAATAATCTTTATAAAAGACAAATTTTGTGAAAGAATTCAGTTAAGCTAACATAACATAAAAAATTGTAAAGACGAATTCTCAAGTATTTATTCATTACAACGACGTCAATTGGTCAAGAACTTGATTCTTAATCAGAAGTTATGTTTACTTTTTAGTAAAAATGTAAGGCGAGATAAGATGAAAATATTTTAAGCAAGGTTGTAAGTACAGGAAACACATCTGCAAACTTTTACTTTTTGTTCATAATAACAATGTGATCGTCAACCAAAATAAGGACAATGGTGTTTTAAAAAAATATGCTTATGAGCATATTGCAACTTCAATTTACAACTACTTGAACATTTTTATAATAATTAAATTTTCTACTACATATGTTTACTAACAATGTAAGCAGTTTATATATAAATATTTTTTTGTGCTATATTTATTAAAGGTAAAGGAGGTTTACATACAGGATGTATAGAATGCATCTTAGTCGTGACGCTAAGATGACGACTTAGACGTCTTATCTAAAACATGTCAATTGAATTTATGTAAAAATTCTATTTGCTTGAAAATTTTTAATTTATTTCCATGTGCTTAAGGTAAATTCAAGTCATGCCTATTCAGGCAAGAACGTTGATGGGGGTCAAAATAATTTGACCCAAATATAAGTGAATCGCCAGCAACTGTTTCGTTAATGGTAAGCTTTCATTAAAATTAGCTACATTTATAAAACTTTAAATAGGTCACCCATTTGGTTCTTGGCTTGCGTTAGACTTACATAAGTCTGTGATCTATGCGTATTGCAGACCAAAAGATTGTAACTAAGCTATTTACATAATATTAGTTCATATAAAATTCCGATGAACAAGTTACTTTACTCTTAAGTATAATAGAAATCCGTTCAGGCTTTAAGGGAAAAGTATATGTATAAGTAAATCTTCATTATCTGTAAAATTAATATTTAAAATTACTCATTTTATCAACGAAGTTATATAAATTATATTGTTTATTAGTCACATTATCAGATTTTTCGGGAGGAATTTATACTTACTTAAACTTAAACATATTAAAATAACAATATAAAATTAAGATCTTATATGTATGTATGTTATATAGATTGGTATTTATAAAATATGTTAATATAAATATATAATAAATTCCTATATTAAATATGTTTTAGGTTTCAATTTATTCGTTAGAGTAAATTTGAAATACTTCACGATGTGCTGTATATTCACTTGTTGTGGATGGATGGTCGATTTAATACAAAGGTGAGTTGAAAAAAAAATCGATAGTAGGTAATTATTATATTTTTATTTTGCCAAAAGAATTAAATGTCTGATGTTTCGCATATAAATGTATAAGAAACTTATATTAGTTACCATACTAATAACTCAAGAACGGCTTCATGGATTTGACTGAAAATTGGTTGGAGAGTTAAATTGTTCAGAAACAGGAGACGGACATCAGATACTTAATTCCAATCGATTAAAAAAAATATAAAATCTAATATTTGGTTACTTACCTCCTGTATAGCTAATGAAGTTAGTCCAGTCAGATATATATTACTAGTTATGAAATCGACGCTTTGACGCGGACGAAGTCGGGGGCAAAAACTAGTATCATGTAGATTTGTGTTTTCATATGTATATGATAGAAAGTATATTTTTTGTATGTCATTTATGTAAAAAACATTTCAGGTTATGGACCTTTACAATGTCCTGTTTTATTAGTTCGGCTGTTTGCTGTTCTCTAGTCACCGCCTCCATGTCTGGGATTGCTCTAGGCTACAACTACTCTTTGGCAGAATACATTGACTTGAAAGGTCATAAGCACATACTTAAATATTTATTAATCGTTCCCTCAAACGGGAATAAAATTACTCAGTTTCTAGTGTTATTCTTTGTTTGTCGTCGAAAAGTTAATGAGACTTTAATTATGTAGACTTTCTTTCAAATGCTTTCAACTTTTTTGCTTTAATTTATATACGACATGGTTAGAGGTAGCGATGGACTCGGTCGGTACCCGCACGTTGAATCCATTGAATGCTCGAATGAATTTAATTGAATAAGAAGTTTGAGCTCTGGCTATACAAAAACAAAATTATTAGTTGTTTTTTAATACATATATATAACTAAATACTAATAATAAATATAGTAAATGAATATATATATTGTACATAACATTATAATATACCATTGCGTGTCAGGTTGATTGTATTTATTGTACAGCCAGCTGAAGTATTTAGTGTTCTGTGAATGAGTTTAAGTGGAAAGTTGTTGGTGACAAATTAATTATTAATTTGACACCCCTTAAATGTAAACTCATTTTCATAGCTCGAAATATTATGTCACGTTTACATTAAGTTTATATGACATATCTGGAAAGCATTTTATTTATAAGCATTAAAGTATATTTTTACGAAGTTGTTTCAGTGTTTAGATTTTTATTAGTTAATATAAAATTAGTAGTGATATAAGTATTTTATTAACTTTATCATTACATTTTCAGAAACTAATGTGTCTGTGTACCTGAAGCGTGGTGTGTTCGATGACGAAATTTCCGATGAAATGGATTGGAGACGAAGTGGACACATGCCTATCGGTGGACACGTTAGGGATCACAATCGTTAGTATTCAAGGACTAAAAAAACATTTGAAATTCCTTCAATGGATTAGTTCAATAGTTACAATTATCGCTGAATACCCAAATGCTACAAAAAATTGTCAAAATCAGTAAAAATTTTTAAAAATTTGTTTATGTCGTATCAGATATTAAGCTGATTTTGGTACCTTAAACTATGTAGAAATATTAGTAATTTTCTATATCGAATCAGTTTGATAGCAGAGCAAAGTCATAAATAAATTAAATTATTCAACATATAAATATTCTTGCGTTGTGGTAGAAATTATAATTATGTATGTAAGTATTTTTAATTTGTTTTTCTTTCTACAAGTTTATATTAATATATTTATGTTTTAGTTATAACGGGAGCATCTGACGAGTCCACAACTTTAAGATCGGGCAGACGTCTGGACGACTCAATTTACGAGTCTAACGATCGAAATAATTTTGAAGGTTCCCTAATGAGATTGACTGCTAAACCTTTAGAAACAAGTTCAACTCTTCCGCCATCTGAAAAGCCAATAGAAGAGGTAAATAACTTTATAAAAACTAATATCTTTATACTTTTAGAATGAAGCATAACAAATATATAAATTGTAATTATCATCAGGTTATAAACCAGTATACAATGGGATCGCTAGATCAGCTCAAAGCGGTTCAAAGTGAGATTAATCGAAAAAAAGTTGAAGCTGCTCAATCACTTCGAACATTCAGCAGAAAACAGGACGTAATTAGTAGCACTATTAATATTTTTTATAGGTTTCTAAAATGGTTAATATTTAATTGATAAACATTTCAAGGAGATTGTTGTTCCTGAGAGGAGGCCAGTATTTCCCTATTCCGATGGCTCTGGAAGACGTGCAATGGCATATACTATACCTACCTACCAGCCTCGTTCGACTTATAGTTCACTAAGGGCAGCGGTTCCCGACGATCGAATCAATGATCATTCAAGATGGATCCTACCAAAAATACCAGTGGAGAAACTTCCATGGGATATGCAGTATGCTGATGACTACATGAGTCAGACATACCCATCGCCAATCACACCAAGAGCTGGCCCAGCTAGACCCACCAGGCCACCAGGGTTGGCAAGAACCAGATTAAGACCCACACCAACACAAACAACATTGTCCACAATCAAACAGCTAGTGGGTCCTAAAATAGATTTACCAAAATCCATGGATGACGATATTGAAGCGTTTAAGAAAAAACTTATGGAAGATAAATTTATTCCACCGTCGTAAGTAGCGCAAAATACAAACTAATTTACATCCAACGTAATTAATATTAATATACAAAAAAAATCTTTACCATTTCTTTATAGGTTCAAAGACGAAGATTTTCTGAAAAAAATGGACATAGGAAAAATTAATCCTAACGAAGATTACGAGGAAGATATAAAGGGAGTCCCTATGAGGAGGAAGAGAAATATTAATAAATTAATAACACCGATAAATAATTTCGTTAATGAAAACGACACAAAGACGGAAGCCAGTAAAGATTTTGTAATTAGCACAAAATTAGGCGGTACCGTTGAAAAGATTGACTTAGTGAAAACTGTCGACGTATTGCACAAGAAGTTTTTTATAGGATATGAGGGAAATAAAGAGACGCCGTCATCAAAAATTGATAAGACCACATTTGATATTTTTACGAAATTATTTTCTTCAACGCCGTCATGATGTATTCTTTATTAATTTTGCAACAATATATGTTTCATGAAGTCCTTTGACGTTAATATATGTATTTATTAAATACGTTTGAAAAATATATTACTTTTACATGTTAGTTTGTTTTGACGTCAAGTATAAATTTTATGATAAGCTTTGTCTTTCCATTTATTGATTAAACTCATTAAAATTATGCAAACAATCGTAAAATTTGTATTTTTTTTACGTATTTAACCCTTAATAATAAAATAACGGATAAAATATTGCGTTTTTTAATACAAGAAGCAAGTCAATTCTATTATGTGAGCTGGCAAATTCCACAAGCATATATTTTGCTAGATATATCAAACAGAACTGTGAATTAGTATTGCATCATAAATAATCATTGTTTGCTGTTTATGTGGAATGATTACATAATCAATTCGCTATTTGCATTTGCTCACACACGTTTTCACCTGCGTTTACTTTTAAAACAATAGTAGCACTATTTTTGATAAAACACAAATAATTTGCTGTTTATTTCAAATATTACCTTGATTTTTCATTATCGAAGCTTATTTATATCGTGCAATAAGGTTTAATGGATTAACAAATCCACAAATATTTTTTTATTGAGTAATCTTTAAATAGCACTTAATAATAATTCCATATATAGGTACATAAAGAACAAAAGTACATAATATATTCTTTACATATGTATATACCGTTTATATTTATATATCCTCCAATATACTACATACTTCAGTATACGAAAAATTAACAATTTAAAAGATAACAAGTGAACGACCAAGCTAAATGGGAAACTTTATATGTATTTGTCTTTCCAAACTTGTAACAACTACATACTACGAAGTCAAAATTAAATAAATTATTAAGTTACTTTAACTGTTCTCGTAAAGTTATATTAAGATATATGAGGTTAAATAACGTAGCAATGCCTTAAACTTCAGTGAATTTTCTCTATTTTATCAATATCTTTTGTTTGAATAATTTAGTATGGACGTCTGTATAGTTTGCTTACAATTTATTTGTTGTAGATTCGCAGAAGAAGTATCGAAATTATTACGTATTATTTATGTGATAAAATAAAAAAAGGATATATTTCTTTTTGTGTCATAAATTTCTCATATAGAAATAGTTTCTCTCAATTAGGATCTTGATACTAGAGTTGAAGATCAGAAGCTAAGCCTCGGTTAAAATCTAGTTATCCCTAAAACGATTATCTCTTTAGTATTGAACATGTAAGCAAACTATTCGACATAATTCCACTGAAATTGGTTCTGCAGAAATCAACTCCCAAGAGATGTAGGGGCGTGGAAGATTTAAAAATTTACTTTTTTATTGTACTATTACTTAAGATGCCGCTGAATTGAAAACTTTGTGTATGAAAATAAATCGCTCATATGCCACACTTATAATTTTTACCTATTTTATATCTAGACGATTTAAGTTTGTGCATGGGACAGCTTTGAAAGAGAAAAATTTATAAAAATCAATACATTCAACAACGAATTTAAAGGTTTATTATCTTGAGAAAATTCGTATTGTAAGTATACTCACAATACTATTGTAAGCAATAGTATTGTGAGTATATACGATATAGTTATATGTACTTTATGAATTGAATAATAAAAGGAATATATTAAAATACACTGTACAAAATGTATGTAAGTAGAAATCTAAATTATAATCCTTACAGAAAATTTCTTTGTTATTGTTCATCAATTTAATTCAAGTTAAAATAAGAAAGAAACTTTGATTGAGTTTTTTCCTTAAATAATTTGGCATCAGTATTGACAAATGACAAATAATATTCTTAATACTATTCTATAGTATTTAGTAGAAGCGTTTCTAATCGACCACTGCTATCCAGACTCGCCTTAAACGCAGATTAAACTGTCTTATCAAAGTACTTTGACAATTCTGATGAGTGGTCCCGGTAATGGCTGTGCGAAATTCATTTGCATTTAGAAGTACATTGCTTGTTCTTAGGATTTGAGAGGCTTTTTATCTGATGATACTGGAATACTATATTACAATTCAATTAAAATAATTAAAATATTGTGTAAATTATTGCATAATATTTCAGTCTTTTTAAGTATGAAAAAATTAGTTGATTTCTAAAAAGATGTATAGTTCAATGATAGTAATGGCAGAATGAATAGATATACATTTGTTAGTCGATTTGTAAAGTAAGACTCGAATACTTTTAATGCAACGTAACTCGTTATATAGAAGTTTTAGGCATACTGTTTTATTTATGATTTTGTATAATTACTAGTAAGCCCGATACACTTTTTCCTCTCATGCCAAAGATATCACTATAAACACTTAAATTATATCACTCAAACCAGGAGAAGGCGTGAGGAATATAGTTAGTCTTTAAAAGCAGACATTGTGAATTAAAAAAACTTATTTTCGACAAATGTAACTACTATTAAAGCAAAAAAAAGAAAACTTTCCTTCAGAATTATTTGTAAACGATATTGAATGTGAGCCATCTATTTGAACAACTGACAAATAACTACCAAACCACTGACTGTTAGTTACCTAGAACAACAACTCTTTTACAACTGTGTTCCGCCTTAGAGGCCGAATAACCAGATTTCGGATTTTAATTTTTTGAAAGAAAATGTTTCCTATATTCATCTCCTAGTTCTAAGTTATCTCTCCACCAATTTTCAGCCAAATTCATTCAGCCCCTCTTGAGTTCAACCTAAATAGTTTATTCGAGTCGATTTTCTTTGAGATATAAAATTATAAAAGCTATATTTGTAATTTGAGTCATCAAAAATAGAGAATAATTAGGCATTAAAAAATAAACATATCTAAAGAGGCGATAGTGTGGGTAACTAAACATGTATTAAGTTAAATATACTCATTATATTAATATATACTTTTGTTATATACCATTCAACGAATATTAAATATTAAAAATCATTGTACCAATTTATTTAGATGTACTATGTGAGATTTTAATTCGCACAATTCGTGTTATAAAATACATATAAATATAAAATGATGTAATGGAAACAAGTAAAAAGATTTGTTGCTAAATGTTTCAAATTTTCAATGGCTTAACGTTAAGCTGATAAAGGACTTACGTAGATCAAAGAAAAGGGAAATGTACATCACATTTATTTATAAAAAGACTCAGCAAAATTTTTATTCACGACAAATAAATTAGCTTTTAAAGATTTACAATTCTCGTCGACAGTAAGAGTTGTTTTATGAACGTGATATTTAATTTTGCGAGTAATTTTATCAACTAAAGTTATAAAACAAAGAATTTTTATGTGTGTGTTAGTATTTAAGTCGTACTATTATTCAAGTAAAACCTACTGTAAAAAAACAGCGAATCCCAAGTAATGAGGAGATGGAAGGTAAGAAAAAATATGATTGAAAAAGATTGTATATTCAAAAATCTTTTCAATAATGTTAATATCGGATAAATGTATTTACTCTGTAAACTTAAAGAGGATAAGATGAAAGACGAATATAAATAAAATACAAATTGTTCCTTAATAATAGGAACAAAATGAAGGTGTCTGAAAGGCAATTTAGGACAATTTCTTTGAGATATTATTATAATGGGCCATTACTTAGTTCTATGAACATTCATATTAAAAAAAAGAACAACTTAAAGCACGATTTATATATATATATACATAAAATATAAAAGTTGCTTCTTATTTTATCATAAAAAACTGATTTGAGAGCAATTAAAAAATATTTCGTAAAATCATTCGTATTTCATAACAGCATTGAATACAGATGTTTTCTAAAAAGGAGAAACATTACAAAATAAATGGAAAGACACTGGATGAATGAGGGGATCGGATGAATAAACCTGAAATAGAACGTTAATCATACTTGAATGAAGATGGCAGGTTAAAGATGATGAGTTTCGATTAGCGCGATAGAACACTCCTTTGTTATCTGGTACATCACTTAAATGTATTTTTAACTTTCTACCAATATTAAAGACTGATAAATTTTCTGTATTATTTAGGTTTATATTTATTTTAGAATCCAACAATATTACGATAACATTTTTGTATGCTCTAACGTGTCGCCTTTTATATTAAAATAGATTAATTTAAATTTAATAATGATAGTGAAACAAAACAGTTGTTAATGTGAACTGAGACAATGTAAAAAACCCTTTCGTTTATTAAATATAATGAAAACTTTAACAGACATAATAAGCGGGTCTTTTCATACGTCATATTCTGAAAATCTTGAATATTTCACTTACGCTACTAGAATATTCGTCAACCGTTCTGCGGCTTTGTAGAGTATTCAATCCCTTGCCTACGCCATTTTTGCTAAGACCCTTTGTATGAATATCCCTGTAACTTTTGGGCGACAGATGACATTTAAAACAATGTACATAAAACAAAATATTATACAATAATAATAATTAATTACAGAACATAAAGAACATATCTTAAGAATATATTAAGTCTTATTTATTATAAATAAATATTTGTTTCTTTATTTTATAATTAATTTCAGTTACAAAGCAGTGAATTTATAGGATAAATACTCTTCTTTCGATATAATTTCCTATTTGAAATTTAGGAATCAATCTTTTTTTTTTTTAACTGGCAACTCATTTTTTTAAAATTCATGACACTGGCAAAGCTAATATTGCCATATTAATAAAATAAAAAAGATTTTTTTTTATATTTAAGAAGCTGAATTATATGTAGAAACGAGTCTTTTAAGGTTTTATCTGGGTTGCTACTTCTTGTTTTCGTACTGGGAGCTAATAACCGTGTAGATACTTAACAACAGACTAAAGAAGCTAAAAGGTAATAAACAGCTAAGTGAACCTCTTGGAAAAATATACTAAGATATGTTTTGTTAACATAAATATTTTTTATTGTGAGTTAAGAATCATTACATGGACTTTAACTCTCATTTTTGTATTTTAAAATTATCATATACTTGTGAGTAGCTTAGATTGTATTAAATAAAATATGATAAGTATCCAAATGTATTTCTGG